CCCCAAAACCCCAAAACCCCAAAACCCCAAAACCCCAAAACCCCAAAACCCCAAAACCCCTATAAGCTTTAAGGCCGCTGAAATCTAGTTATAATTTAGAATGAGCATACAAATTATTTAAACTCAATATCCTGATTCGATAACATCTCATTTATGTTCTCCTGGTCCTCCTCTTGTAGCTCTGAAAACGCCTTTATACGTACAACAGATTGTCTCTTTTTACTTGACTCTTTAGCTTCTTTGACGAACTCGCTGATAAATCAGGTGATATTGTCAATGTCTTCTCAAAGAGTAGCCATTTTCACCGTTTCGCCGTAGAAACGTTGCTGGAGGCTCTCTAAATTATGCTTCTCCTCAGAGTCTTTTTCATCAAGATACTTTGTCAAGTCCAGCTGGTTGATCAATAAGCTGCCTCCAAGATAATTAGTGTCATCAGTGAGCATCTTGTTCTCTCTTATTAGAAGCTTCTTCTTTGTCTTTAATATCCGAGCTTCCTTGTCCAACTTCGCTTTCTCTTCTTGTATTTCATCAGCTTCTTTAGAGGCTTCTTCTAATTTTTCCTGTAAAATTCTCTTATTTTTCAGCATATTTCTGCTTTTCTTGCAGTAGTGTCTTCATATGCTTGACTTTACTGGAGAGTTCGATAGATTTTCCATAATCTAAATTATTACTGAAGGTAAATACCAGTAGCTTCTTCATACTTCTTGCGAAGTTCTTGAATTTTTGATTTTATATCCTTTGATTTATCCTGCTCTGCTAGAAGTGCCTTCACATCGTCTAAGGAATTCTTGATAACCTTAAATGCTGAATTTAGCGCAATGAAATCTGATTTATCCTTAAATTTCTGCTTTCTTTGGTCATATTCATTCCTCATTAACTGAAGTTTATTTTTCCTAAATTTCTGGTTGTTTCTACTTACCTCGTACTGACTTCTTTGATTTTGTCTCTCTGAAGAGTTAACTTCTGATCCTTATTGTTTTGCAGGACAACTTCAAGTTCATCGATTTCCTTTCTATAGTCATCAACTGTTTCCTTCTTCTCCTTAATTTTGGTCTCAATTAACTTCTTATCACTCTTCAGCTTGAGAAGTCTTATTTCAACTTTCTTGGAATGCTCTGATGTGGAATCGTTGATGACTTTCTGTAATTCTTCTATTTTCTCTTCCAAATTCTTCTTCTCTTCGTAAAGTTTCTGCCTTTGATCCTCAGAAGCGGTGATTGAGTTCTTCAAGCTATTTAGTATTGAAATCCACTTCTGTTCACTCTTTTGTAGTTCAAGTACTCTTATCTGGAGGTTGTTGATGTCCTCTTTGAAGGCTAAATCTAAGTCATCGAGGAGTTCTTGATGGGCATTGTTGAAGTCAAAGTTTATAAATTTGCAGAACGCTTCTGATTTAGCAGGACCGATGGATGCTCTGTCATATTTATTGCATAATTCATAATATTCCTCATAATATGTTTGGATAAAAGAAGGATTGATATCCTCGACAGTCTCTATTTTCTCATTTTTCATATCCTTAAATGATTTCACAAGATAGTCATAATTATACTTCAGAGATTTCTGGTAATTTATATTCTTCACTTCATTGAAATCTTCCTTCAAGCTTTTCTCTAACTGCTTTTGGACTTCTAAAAAGGCACTTACACTGACTGTATCATATAGCTTGATAGCCAGACTTTTAATAGATTTTTTGAGGAATTTATTGAAGATGTCATCTATGTCCTCTTCATTGAGAGGGTGCTCAGAATCCTCAGAAATAGTGTGCTTTAGCTCAATTTTGTATTTTTCAATCTGATTATCAACAAATCTCTGAGCCTCGGCATGGGCTACCCTTTCAAAGGAGTTATAAATAGTCGGGACTGTGCCTGAGTTAATAGCTTCAGTATACTCAATGGCCATTCCAAGTAGCATTGACCCTGTCATATTTTTATTCCCAATAGTCTTAAGCTTTGGTCTAGTAAGAACTCTCTTCATAAGTGTATCTACTCCTGCTCGGAATTCCTCTCTCAAAGATTCGTATTCTAAATCCATTACGTGAGCAACATCCTTTTCTTTGAATGTTGGTCTGACCAAGGGATGGCACTCTATCTGAGAAAAATGTTTCTTAATAGCATTTTCTTTAAGATTTGGATCATTCTTGCCATACACCTTCTTTAATCAATCATTAAGATATTCAGATGAAGTGAATGATTCAAGATCTAATGAGAAATCTCTCAGTACCCAAAATAAGGACGGAAGAAGGCTATTGAGTTCTTCTACTTCTTCTTCAGTATGCTTGATTTCTTTTGTTTCTTCATGGTTCTGTTCTTCTTTTTCCCTAAGCTTCATCAAATTCTTGGCTAAATTAACTGCTACATTGAGCTCTTCAATTCAGTTCGAAGTAATATGCCCCATCGTATTATATACAAACATCGAACTGAGCAAGATTGACAATGTAAATATCTTAGAATCCAGATCAGTATACCGATCAACCGAATGAAGTCCCTCAGTATCGATCAAAAATGCGTGTGTATCAACATTGATTTCAATAGGCTGGTTCCAAATCCAGATTCCTCTTGTTCATGACTTCTGAGTCGAGCCAATCTCAAATCCTTTCATTTGGCCAATAAACCTATTTGCCAGAAAGGACTTTCCGCTTCGGTAAGGACCAGCTATAGATATGCATGCTATCTTCTTGGTATCATATTTCTGAAGCATGGTCATTGCTTCAATATCAACAGTAAATTCCCCTTCGTCTGATATTTGGATAAAAGGAATTGCTTCTCCCATTTTTAATATTTTCAAATTTTATAAAGATTCATGGGGTTTTGGGGTTTTGGGGTTTTGGGGTTTTGGGGTTTTGGGGTTTTGGGG